ATGTCAGTCGCCACATAGTAGTATAGTACAGGTATAGTACTTGTTTGTTTGGTTTTTTTTTACCAGATAATATTATATAAGGTAACCATTTGCAAACAATGGGAAGAAAATGATCCCAAGTTTCAGGCCTGTGTGCAAGACATGGATGAGTCCATAAAAGGTGTTAAGTTTCTCCAAGACCTGGGCATTGCCAGCAGCTGGAAAGGTCCTCAGAGCCCAAAGCAGTTCCAGGCCTGTAGACCTTGTGTCTCAGGTGCCAAGGTTACCCCAGGACGAAGGTCAGGCCAGTTCTTCTGGCTGCTTGGCTCTATGTCCCCCTTTCTCTATCAAAAGGTACCAAGGGGCTTTCTTCTCACTTCTAGAAGGGGAAGGGAGAAGGCAGACAGGTTGAAATCTACTCAACATGTTGGGGGCCACCTGTTCGATAATCTTTCCATGACTGAGACTCAACCCTGTCTGCATCTGAACGCTGCTCACCCAGCTTGCAAGGCAGGGAAGTGAACCAGTATGAAAACATAACAAGAGATGCGAAATCAGATGATCGTTTGTGCTTTTTTTTTTTTTTTTTTTTAAATCTCAGGACATTTCATCTTTAAAGGCATCGGGCTTTGTGGGGCATTGTTTACTAAAAGCTATCTGTTATAACAGCAAAGCATCGCAATATACCAGTCTATACAACATATAATCCAAGGAGCAGGTTAGGAGAAGACAGGAGGAGCCTGGATGCCTCTGTTCTCTGAATGCATTCTTGTTGCTTGGCATGGCTAGCTGTGACTCTGGGAATAGTCTTTATGGGACCTATCTCCTCTGACCTTATGGCTTTTTCTGTTGAAGTATTGATGATGGCTTCAGGATTTATTCTTGTCATTGTCCTCTGTGCTGTGTGAGCTTTGTGCATAGCAGTCAGAACTCAGGGTACCATGAGGCAAGGGCTAGAAGCAGAAAGCAGGCCAGGAGGACGGATGAGGAGCAGGAATGTGTAGCTCACCTCAGGCCATAAAAGGGGACATCTGCTATCTCTTCTTCTGCCTCCCTCCCTCCCTCTCTTTTTCTTTCTCCCTCTCTCTCCCCCCTCTCTCTGTATGTGTGCACTTCTCTTACTATGACAGATGGGACAATGAGGAGAGCTATTAAAAGCCCACTTGGACACGTACCCCTCAGGCAAGCCCACCTGGGCTAAACAAATTCAGCACAGCTGAACAATCAGAATTGAGGGAGCTGGTCCTAAGGGACCTCACAAGGACAGCCAGGACACTCAAATGACCTCAGATGATTCTGAAACCTGGGAAAAATACTGTAGCAAGCCCAAGTCATCTGATCATGAGACTCATCCTCTGACTGCCTGGCTGCTCACAAAGAGCTAGCCAGGGACATTCCAGCTCTGCCAATCCACCAGCCAAGTTCCCAGGGATAGAAATCCACTGCTGCTTTCTCCCCCATCATACCCCATGGAGAAGGCACAAAATGAGCCTGTGTCTACCAGCTGGTAGACACCTAGCCCTCATGACAGTGTTCTGTCCCCACTGCCAGTGAAACCACCAGCACCTTCATTCTGGATCAGTATGAAGGGCTGGGTTGGAAAGGCCCAGGACTTGGCATCAAGACACTCAAGTTCACCATCAGAATGGATCTGGGTAGGACTTCCAACTTTACCCACAAAGGTTTCTCCTGTCCAATGACTGATAGAACCACAGTGGACCATTTTTTCCTTCTCTTTCTCCCTCCCTATCCCAGAATAAATGAGACACTCTGGTCTATGATGACAAGACACAGAGACTCTACTTCTCCCTTTCCCCCAGCACCTGTTGTATAGGATGATGGCTGTTGGCCAGTGGCCATCTTCAACTCTTTATGTGGTATCTGGGCTACACCAGCCAAGGTACTCTCTATGGCTTTGCTAGTGGCCTGGACACATTGTCTATCAAGAATAGGCTGGCCTTTCCTTCCTCCTTTCCTTCTTTGCTTCTTTCCTTCCTTTTTCCTTTCCTTCCTTCCTTCAGTCCTTCTGTCCTTCCTTCTTTCTCTACTTCCAAACAATCCTTCAAACTTATTTATCCTGATTTCTTCCATAAGAGTAGAGCAGTTGTGAAGCCTGCAGGGCCTTGAATCCACTTGGTTGTGTTGTACAATGAAAAGCTTTGCGTTTTTTCAAAACTGACTCTCTGTTCCAATAAGTTGAAAGAAAAAAAAATGAGAAAATATTGTCCAGACAGATGGCTCTTTCCTTACTTTTGTGCTACCTCAGGGCAGGGGCACCCTCTGGGTCTGAGGAGTGGCATAGCCAAAATCAAGCAAGAGGAAGATTGCGATGAACTTCCACTCACATCCCCAGGAAGTACTTGGGAGTGTATCAAGTAGAGAGGCGCATCTATGGAAAACTCACAGGCACACAGCCTGATCAGTCTTCTGATGTGCTTCAGCCCTTTCTCTGTGCCACACGCTGGTGACAGGGAGAAAGAGAGGGCAGTCCTGCCCCAAGCCTAGCCGGTCTCACCTGCGTCTACCTCTCTGCACTCTTCTCGGAAGCAGTGATACAAGCCAGGGTTCTGTGCTTCAGCTCCAAATGTGCAGGCAGAGGAGAGCCACGGACGCTGCTTTCATTTCCACGAGTTGTGCTGTTGTCTCTGCTTTCTAGTGGTCTCCGCAAGTCTCGGGCTCTGAGAGCTTTGGGCCTCACAGGATATGGGGAAGAGCCCACAGGGTCTGTGTCAGCTCTCAGGAAGATGAGCGATTAGGACTAAAGGTCACCTCTTCCAAGCACTTCCACCGTCAAGCACTATGCCGACCACTTCATATCACCTCCCTGAATCCTCTCAACAACACATTATTTGTCTTCCTGGGAAAGCTGAGTTTTAGAGCTATTAGTTCACCAAGATCACCTCTTCTAATGGGGAGAGCCAAGAATTAGACACATGATTCTAACGTGCATACACTTAGTAAGTACATTTAGGTGGCCTCCTTCCAAGAGGACTTTTGGAAATTCAAATATTCAAGGGACACTAAACAAATAAGCTCAAATTCCAAACAGGAAAAGGCAGAAATACCACCTACTCCTCTAATCATACTTCTAAGGCAAATACTAGCTGGAATAAGTTCCTCTGCTCATGAGGGCTCAGCACACACCTGTCTGCCTCTCTGGGCCTGACATGACTGGGTTGAGGATTGGGGGAAGGATCCCAAGGATATGGATGTCATGGCGGGTGTTTGATCTTGCCTACCATGCATGTGTTTTCTCATTGGTCTGTATGGTAGCTCATGAGATATTTTGTAGATAGGAAAAGCAAAGCATTCAGAATTTGCATGTCTTGTCTGAGGTTGAACAGCCAGTAAGTATCAAAACCAACATTTGGACACAGATGGCCTGACTCTGGCATATTGTATTGCTCAGTCTATATATAGTATAGATGACATGGCTTTTTTGTAGCCTACATATTAACTCTAGAAGGTACTTTGCCTATGCTTCTGTATATATATATATATATATATATATATATATATATATATATACACACATAATGTCATTTAATGACTGCACTAATAATGTGCAAAGATACATAGGTAGATGCAAAATTCTCCTGCTTAATGTGCAATTGTATTAGCTTTGTTTTTTTAAAAAAGGACAATAGTAATAATGGTTTCAGAAGTCTTATATAATGCATTTAATCATGACTTGTAAGTCATCACAGGCCACACAAATTGTCTTTTTTAAATTACTGTTACCAATAATTATATATCCGCATCAGGAGATGCCCATAGGTGAGGTGTTATAGGTAACAGAATCACAGTTTTTGAAAACTTGCTTATGATTTATTCCCTTTTAAGGATATATTAAGCTCCTAGGTGCTGGTGGCTCATATCTGTAATCCTTGCTACTCAGAAGGCTGAATTATGGTTCAAACCCAACCCAGGCAGGAAAGTCCAATTAACTACCAAAAAATGCAAGTGGAGGTGTGGTCCAAGTGGTAATGTGCCAGTCTTGCCCCAAAAAGCTAAGGGACAGTGTCTACGCCCTAAGTTCAAGCCTTAGTACTGGTGTATGCACACATACACATACACAACATATATACAGCTGTAATGCAAAGTTCACATTAACAATTGCTTGTGAGTGAGGTTTGGTGGTATATATCTATAATCCTAGCACCTGAGAGACTGAGATAGGAGGAGCCTGAGTTGGAGGGGACCCTGCTTCAGAAAGAGAGACAGAAAGAAGGGAATGGGAAACAAAGGGGAACAAAAAAGAGAAAAGATAAAAATTGGGCAGGAGGCATGACTCCAGCTTCTGCTTGGCAATTGTGAAGCCCTGAGTTCAATCCCTAGTACTGCCATGAATGAATGAATGAATAAATGATGAGAAAAAACATTCATTTTTAAAAAATTTTCTTTTCACTGAAATCAAATCCCAATTTTTGACTCTAGGAGTAAGCATTTCTACAAAATAACCTAGTCTACTCTCACAACCTAACCACATGGTCCAGTGCCCTTCCTCGCAGGAGATGAATTATTCTTACTCATTCCTTATGTCCTTATTTCTCTGTCATCTTTCAGCCTCCTCTCCAGCTCACCTTCTTTGTGTATTCCTACTAGATCTCTGTCCAGCATGTCTCAGGTCCTTCTCAAAAGGTTCACGTTTCCCATCCTCCTTCTGTACAGGGGTGTTCTGCCAATAATTGAGCTTGACTAGAACTTGCCAGAATGCCTAGTCAAGGTCAAGGCCTGTAGCTCTGGAAGCTCTCCTTTGGGGCTCCATCTTTCATGGAGAACACTGACCTCATAGAGCTCTGAGCTAGAATGAGTTAGTGGTTGGATGCATTTCTGACTTTGCTTAAGAAAAGCTCCATGGTTTGAAATGGAATCACTGCTAATTTTGGCCTGCTCTGAGGTCTTTTGTATTTCCTTTGCAATGGAAATGCAAGTCACAGAAGGGTGAGGGTGTATGTGTATATTTGTGTTTGTGGGCAAGCACACCAGGCTCAATCACACTGAAATTTGATTTCCACTGCTTGCTTCAGCAGCACATAAACTAAAATTGGAATGATGCAGAGACAATTAGCATGGCTGCTGCACAGGATGACCTGCAGATTTGTGAAACATTTCATATTTTGTTGGGTTGTGTGCAAATAAGTCATTACGTGGGACAAAACTAGGTCGACTTGCTACTTCTTCTTTGGAGAGAGGGAGAGAGAGGGGGGAGGAGGAGAGGGAGAGGGACAGAAGAGGGCGAGGAAGAGGGAGAGAGAGGGAGGAAATTTGGTTGCAAAGTATTAAGAGGTAATCAGACCTTTCAGCATCCAAGAAAGGTTGTCTTGTGGGACTAGTTTCTTGTTGTTGAAGGGGAGATTAATTATTGTAAGAATGAGTTGCAAAAAAGCAGGTTGCCCTTCATGTTTTTCTTTTACTGAACATGGCTGTTTCCTACTCTCACATGTCTACTGCCCTGTGATGTTATGCAGTGTTAAGGTATAGGAAGAGGGCCTCATCAGTGAGACCACTGACCTTCAGCTTCCCATCCTATAGAGCCAGGAGCTAAATAACTCCTTTCAACATAAATTTCCCAGCCTCAGATACTCTATGAACAGAAAATGGACTAAGTCAACTACGTAGAGAGTTACTGGGGGGGGATGGGTTGGAGTATGTCAGTAGGAAAGAGATGCTTACCTGGTCAATAGCTATATACTAGGACTCTTCCAGTCAAAGAGAAAGAGACTGGGCCATGGTTGTCAGTCCTTGAGCCAGAGGCCCTGGAGCTTCATAGTGAGTCCCCAAAATGCAGGGTTTTAACGTAGCCTCAGCTGATGCTTAACCAATTGGAAGCCCTTCTGTTGGGGAAGTGAGAGGCAGAGTCTTTCCCATGCTGTTAGTTCTTCAATTGAATGGAACATGTTAGATGAGTGCTTGGCAGAGTTTTCCTGTGAAGGGCCAGATGGAAATATTTTAAGCTTTGCAAGCCATATGATCCCCACTGCAGCTAGTCAACTCTGTCATTATAATGAGAGGGCAGCCACAGACATTAAGTAAACAAACGAGTATGGCTGTGTTCCGAATAAAACTTTATTTATGGACACTGCAATTTGAATTTCACATTATTTTAATATGACAACATAGTATTCTTTGGGTATTTTTTAACCATTTAAAATATAAAAGCCATTCTTAACTCCTGGGCTGTAGTTTGCCAGACTCAGACTCAGGCTACAGAGGAGATGATTTTCTCTTCTTCTCAGACAACTTGCAACAGGGCCACTGAGGGTTAAAGAGACTGGTTCCTGGTCTCTGGCCCCAAGCCCACGGAGCCAGCTTCCCAGTGGGATTGCCTAGGCAGCTGCCATTTCAACAGGCTCTCCTACTTTATAATACCTACCAAGTGTGGAAGAGCCATTTTAACCAAAAAGAAGCCAAGAACCTTCTCAGAAAAGCTGTTCAATTTGAGCAGAAAAAATGAGGCCAGCCAATGAAGCTAGCACTTCCTGTGCAGGAAGGTTCATAATTCTAAAGCCACATTGGTGCTCCTGGTTCAGTTATTTCAGTCTTCCTCAAACTCTTATGTGTTGAGCTCTCTAGGGAGACTGACCAGGGAGCACCCCAAGGCCTTCGCAGGCAGATGGTTGATGGCTCATTCTGAGCCCATAGCTCAGAGAATCCCAGGTTTGTTCTAATAGAAGTAGAAAATGCTGAGAGGTAGTGTTACATGGTTCCTGTGCGGTAAACAGTTCCACCCTGGCCACTTTTAATTAAGTCACCTCCACAAGGCCTCCAAAGACAGGCTTGGGAAGAGATGTAAGCTATTGGATACTTCTGTGCCACTCACAGATAAACTCTACCCATTGCAGTCACCGCATCGCACGCAAAATTGCTTTATGAGAAGAAGATGTCCAGGAAAAATGAAAAATTTCTTTGTCAATAACGAAATGAATGCCTTCTCTGCTTCTGTTGCTGTTTCTAGCTTTGTGATGTGGTTTTGGTGGCATCTTGTGATGGAAGAAGTTGGTCTGAGAACAGCTAGGCACCCTAGGATGCGGAACAGAGATGGAGAAAGGACTTGGGTCCCTGGGGATGTGGTCCAGCTACTGAATTAGCAAGATTTGTGTCGCTGTGTAGTATTAGGCCTTCTACATAGTGTGTGTTCAGGAACCTTCCAGATTGAGCTGGGCACAGAGGCTCACACCTGCAACCTCAGCTATTCAGGAAGCAGTAATGAGGAGCTCATGGTTTGAGGTCAGTCCAGGAAAAGTTAGCAAGATCCCCACGTCAACAACAAACCAAGCATGCTGGTGTACACCCTTGATCCCAGGAGTGTACAAGGCATAGGCATTTCAGACGCAGTCCCAGTGAGATGGGTTTATCTGCTGTTGATGGTGCGAAGAACCTACTTGAGTGACAGCCCTTCAGGCTCTGCAGCTGGCAGCAACTGCTAGGGTGATATGTAGCCCTGCAGCAGATAATGCCTGCTGGGGCTGCAGCTTAGCAGCAGACAATGCCTGTCAATGTTCTGGCTTCACTGCTGAGTGTTGTCCATTTGCCTTCTTGAGTTCTTGCCTTACAAACTTGAGCAATGAAGTCCATGGACACTGATAGGTGAATGCAAAGAACTTTATTCAGGAGAGAAATATCTTAGTAGAAGTTAGCTGCTGCTCTAGCCCCAAGTGGCTGAGTCTAGGGCTGTGCTCTGATTGGTCACCACCTAGTATAATTAGGTGTTTGGAAGATGACTTTTTTTTAATGGGTCAGGTCCCATGACATTCTGATTGGCTGTTAATTCTATCAGGTCCCTCTGCCAATCTCCTCTTCCTCCAGAGTCATTGGAAGGCTATGGGAACTTGAGGACCTTGAAGGACCTAGGGAGTGGTAGAGGCATGCTGTTTGGTTTTCTGCTGGTATTTCTCTGGAAATAATTTTGCATCTCTTGCCATCTGGTCTCTGCTTGCCAGGCGAAGATACTACCTGGTGGTGGTGGGGGGTGTCCTGAGTCCTAACGAATCTACCCTTTTACCAGGTTAGCCTAGCCCAACAGTGTGACCTTACCTGAAAATTGATGTAAAGCATAAAGGCTGGGGGCATGGCTCAAGTGGTAGAACACCTGTCCAGTCAGCATCCGACTCTCTCTGGTGCTGCAAAGGAAAGGAAAAACAAAAGCTCCCAAACATAGTGGTTAAGCTGTTGAGCTTCTCATCTGACGTGCCATCTATGCATTTGTCACTGAGAAATGAAAAAGAATTATTCCCTGAAGCACCTTGCCTTGGGACGATGGAGACTCAGAGGCAGTAGACCACAGGCCAAATGCTCGTGGCCCGTTATCTCCCCTGCCCACCTACCCCATGAAAGGCTGTCCACTTTTGGCCTCACATATCTTGTTCATTGCTGCCCACACAAGTGACGTGGGGCATTGAATTATCAGTATTTCAGCCACCGTGTGTGTGGCTGAAGTCAGCCATCATCAGCATGATTAAATACTTATTACATGAGTCAAACATACGGGCTTCATTAAGTGAGTGAACTCCCAGGAACCCCCTCTTCTGTTTATACAGCCCATCTGGACTCTCAGATTACGTTAAAGAAACGGGATAAATGGAGTTCAATATGACAGCCAGGTCATCTTTCAGCATTCTGCTCTCGGAGGAAACGCATCTTCCATTGCTAATGCTGGCTTCCATGCAACTGGGTACGGAGGGTTTTTTTTTCCATCTGCTCCTGGCCTCCGTGAAAGGTTGACATGCTGCTGAAATTGAGACTTCGCGTGGAACTTGCCAGGACACGACAGACATACTTTTCTCGTTGAAGCATGGAACATTGTCTAAAGCCGTTTGCAAGCATAGATCTTAGGTCTTTTACAAGGAAAGCACACCTTGAAAGCAGAATAATGGACAGGGTTTAATTAACTTACTGGGTCTCCCCTAGTCATTATTAGGAGCTCTTTATCAAATTAAAGGCCTTCCGGGAAGGCAGCCGAGTGCTGAGAGGCAGTGACATGCGTTAAGTGCCAAAGTGGGTTTTAATTGGCTGTTTAAATGAGGGACAGCTCCCTGCAGTTTGACAGACACGCACTGAGAGTGTGTGCAAACATATACCCTCACACATATACAAGGAACCACAGGCAGTCTGCAAATCACAGGGATCACAGTTTTGGAAAACGGACACCCCCCCAAAATTGGACCACAAGCCTATCAAAAAGAGAGCCCCTTTTGCATGAGGTATTCCATACTCCATAAGCACTATTGGTATTATTTCTGATAATAATAACTAACAGCAATGTAGCAATGTGTTGTTTGAAGGTTGCCAAATTCATGTTGTGTGTAGTTAAGCTGCATTGCCAAGGTCTCTCACTCTTGGACCGAGCCAGAGAATTGTCTCTGTGTCTTGTATCTATCAATCTATTTTAGTAAGAAACAGAGACACAGATACCTAATGTAAGAAAGTAAGAAACTTGTAAGATTTGAAAGAAGCAGAGACATATATACCTAATGTAAGAAAGGAAGAATATAAGATTTGCAGGAAGGTCCTAGCAGTGCCTGGCTTTACCAACAGTCTAATAAATCATAGGTTTTCCAAAAGCTCCAAGCACTTTCTAGTCCTAGGGGTTATTATTTACTCCCAATAGTCCTAGTTAAGACAAGAGCCCCTGCAGCCTTGTGGCATCAGATCTGTGTGCGGATTCTCCATATTAGTGGATCTCTGAGCCTCAGGCTCTTTTCTATACTACCCTTATAGAACAGCAGGGAAATTATAAGACCATGCCTCCAAAGAGCTTAGCATGCCTGTGCACAGGGGCTCCATGAATCTGCTTATGAAGGATGTATTTGTGTACCCTAAGGAGACATGACACTATAGCACAGAGTGGCCGTGCTACAGTCTCCAGAACACCCAACCTTTCACATGGATGGTAAGCCAAAATTCATTGAGTTGAACCCTTAGTAGGGCATGCAGGGTAGAATCTCACAAGCTGAGGGTATCAGTGAAGGATTATAGGGAGGAGGGGTGGGCCAAAGGAGGCTGTGTGGTCTTTTGTGGTGCTCAGGGTTTTAGAAAGCTGGAGCTTCTTCATGGTCTAGGTTTGAACATATGTGATCAAAAATAACCCCAGTACCCAGTTGGGTTGACAGGCCAGGGCCTC